GGAAAGGTGTGGAGCAAGACCGGCTGCAATGAGACGGGAGAAAGCTGTGCCACCGGAGACTGTGGTAAGTTCGATGTTTAGAATGCTGAAAAATCATTTTCACGTAATAACTTCATTCTCCCTTTAGGGGCAAACAACGACTGCCACCGAAACGGCCCGACCACTCCGGCCACCGTGGTGTACATTGCCCTGGACAGTCTCCACCAGCAGGACTACTACCAACTGAGTCTGGCGGATGGCTTCAACGTGCCGGTGGAGGTGGAGCCGCTGAATCATCCGAACAACAACATTGGCAGCAATAACGGCAGCTACAACGCCATCGGCGGACACTGCATTCCCGCGGGTTGCAAGGCGGACCTCAATCAGGTCTGTCCGCCGGAACTGGCGGTCAAATCGAAAGTTGGCGGACAGGAATCGGTAGTGGTTGGCTGCCGCTCACCCTGTCAGGCCTTCTCCACCGACCAGTACTGCTGCACTGGGGCCCATCGACCGGAGGCGAAGTGCAACAGCACACAGTGGCCCACCGACTACTCAAAACTTTTTCACCAGTCCTGTCCGGACGCAAAGGCCTACCCACGGGACACGGTCGCTCAGCCAAAGTACTGCGAGGCGAATGCCGTCCGCCTCAATGTAAACTTCTGCCTGAAGAAGCACTGATGATGATGATCAGCAGTGCAGTGCACTGTTTATTTTCTCGGTCACAACATGTGTCGGTTAATCATCCTATTATCGTCAAGTGTGTTCAGCAAAGAAGTTCATTTATAAATAGTACCATTTCCTCCATTACCCCTTTCACCCCACTAGCGACCCAAGTTGCTGAGCAGATCAATGACCAGAAAGACGGGCGTGATGAAGTTCATCTGCGCCAGGCTTTTGACTTTTCGCCTACTTTCTGACTGCTTCAGTCTCTTCTGTTTGGATTTGGCCCTCTTTGACAGTTTGCCTGTACTTTTGCCGCTGCCGTTGCCAATGAGATTAGCGTTGACCAGGGTGACATTGAGCGGCGGCAGACTGCTGCACCGGTCGCTGGAGTCGTTGAAGTCGCCGCAGGCGACGCCGAAAAAGTCCGCCGAGCTGGTGGTCATAAAGTCGAGGATGACCTCGTGGTTGGCCGGCGAGCGGGAGCAGGCCTTCCGTCCGAGCATGTCCTCCAGACAGTGCAGGGCGTCAACCGCAGAGCAGCAAAGATGCGGCAGTTTCAGGCGTTCATCGTCGACGGTGAGCATCACCGTACGGAGAGCGGTGACGAACCGCTTCAGACAGGTGTCATTCCGTCGCAGGTGTTTGTTCACACATGAAGTTATGCGGAGAATCTTTTCCAAGCGTTTGGAGAGAGGCTTCTTTGGAGCAGGAGAAGATGAGTTTGTCGAGTTGGATGAAAATGGCAGGCCAATTTTGGAGGGCTCCTTCAGTGAGGTGCCGCAGAACTGCTGGACACTTCGCTTGGGCGGGTACATCGCCAGTTTGCTCGTCTGCAGCGTGTCTCGGGTGAAGCACCGGGCGAAGAAGTCCTCGACGGTCATCGTCAGGTTGCGTGACTCCTCGCAGAAGCGCACCAGTTGGGTTTCGTTTTGGGGCATCAACCGCCCCTTGGGGCCGAAGGGCATCAGACGGGCGACCAGGCGATCGACGCGAATCATCTCCGACTGGTTGCAGCCGGGCTTCTTGGTCAGCATCTTACTCGCCGCCTCGACGGTGGTGTCTGTCACTAGGAGGACGCTGAGGAAAAGTGGCGGAAGGAGAAGAAAAAGAGGAGGAAGAAGTGAGGAGGAGACAGGAAGTCGCTGCCTTTTGATGATGTTGTCACTGCGGCTATTGCGGCTGTCCATCTTTTCCTGCTGCTGCTGCGGCTGCTTTTCCTTACGACTGGCGCAGTTTGACTGCTCAGATGGACTGTTTGATTGCAATTAATGCGACGATTTGTAGAAAAGGGATTCAAACAGCTACAAACAGAGAGACAGGCGGACTGGCAGACAGTTTGAGGAGCACTGAAGATAGCTGAAAAAGGTAGAAAAGCAAAATTAAGTTACAGGGATATATCTGCCTTCTTTTTGCTGTTTTTTGTCCTTTCCACTTTGAATTACTTTACAGCAGCAGCAGCAGCAGTAGCACTACCAATGCTCTCCATTGCTCAATACCGAGCTGTTCAGCATCTTCAATGCGACTTTTGAAAAAGGGGGAGAGCAAGATGCTGCTGCTGCTGTACAACAACAAGTGTCCACTTTAATTGAGGAGGAGAATGGCAATTTACAGCTGTGTTGGCTGCTGATGCTTGTTCACACAAGGTCGCTTTTGGGGCATTTTAGCTGCATCTAAATGACAACTAAACGGGGCACAACTTCTTCTTCTTTTCTTTTTCATCTTCAAACACCTCCCTTTAAACAACAGTAGCACAATCTTGGCAGAAAGTATAGCCGTGAAAAGTACTCTTAAAGCACTCTGATGGCCACTAAGCAGAAAAGAAAGGTGGTAAATAGTAGACAAACAATGGCGACATTCATCGGTCATTAGCAACAGTAACAAGAACAGTCATCTCATCCTTCTGACTACTACTGAACTCCACTAAAAGAAAACGGCGTTTATTATGTATTCACAGGTAATTTGGCGGGATAATAAGTAAGTAATAAATTAATTAATTAGCAAAACGGGGAAACTTTTTCCTACAATTAGCGTGTGTGTGTATGTGTGCCGGTGTTTCATTCAGCGGCCAAAGCCTCCTCCGCCAAGAGTGCCATTGCCACTTCCAATGGAGGAGACCAGGTCGATCATGATGAAGACGGGAGTTTTGTAGGCACGAGTCGTCGTCGCCTTCTTTCCTCCACTCTTCTGCTTTTTCTTCTTTCGTTTTCCTGATGTAGAGTTGGTCGATGATGCTCTTTCTTCTTCCTCTTCTACTGTTGAGGGCATCCTCGGCAACGGCTTCAACGACCTGCACCGGTCACTAGAGTCGGCGTACTCGCTGCAGCCAATGGCGAAAAAGTCGTCGGTGTTGGTGCGCACAAACTCCATGATCAGCTCGTGGTGCTGGCGGCCGCACTGGTGGCGGTCCAGCTCCGTCTCGAGGCACTGCAGCGAGGCGAGCGTGTGACAGCACAGGTAGGGAATCTTCAGGCGGTCTTCCACGCCGAAGGTGGCTTGCATGTCCTCGATGAAGCGCACGATGCAGCTGTCATTGTGGCGGAGGTGCTTGTTGATGCACGGATTGGCCTTGGTGAGGAACTGCTGCAGCCGCTTGGACCGCCGCCCGCCGGCGCTGCAGAAGGTGTTGACGGACTTTTTGACGCTGTAGAGGGCGATTCGAGCGAAACGACCGATCTCCTTGGAGTAGCACCGGCCGATGAAGGACTCCAGTTTGGTGGTCAGCTGCTTGGTCTCCGCGCAGAAGGGCTTCAGCTGTTCAAAGTTCTCCGGCACCGGGCGGCCATTCGGTCCGGCGGTGAGGAGGCGGGCGGTGGCGGTGTCCACGCGATTCAGCTCCGCCACCGTACAGCCGGGCTTCTTCAGCAGATTCGAAGTTCGACGGGGATGCTGCTGCTGTTGTTCGCTTTCCGTCGTGCTGATGAGAAGAGGAATCACCAGCAGAAAGAGGAAAAGGTGATGAGAAGAAGGTGACGGTGGTGATAAAGATGGAGGTGATGGTGATGAGGGTGATGATGATATGCAAATCAGTCTCATCATGGTTGCTGCTGACAGGTGACAGTGGTGACAGTCGTCGGCTGAATGATCGCCACTGTTCAAGTGTTCAGTGGAGTTGTTGCTGTTTCAGCAGTAAAAGTGAACAGCGAACGAGTTGTCTCGCTCCGTCGACACTCTTTCACTCCTTGATTGGTACTGCTTTGCTTTCTTTCACTTTCAGTTCTCCAATTCACCGCCATTCACTTTGAATTTGTTTTTCTCTGTTGTTGTTGTTGTCCACTTCAGCAGCAGCAGGACAAGGTTACCTGTGTTCTTCTGTGTTCTTTTTTCGGCGGCGGCAACGCTCTTTTTCACATTGCCTTCAGTGGGGGCTGTAAATACTTGTGTGGCTATATTTGATGATTACCTGTGATAGACTGTCGTTAGCTGTGGCTTGTGAATTACCACTCTCTTTCCTTTGTCGTACAGTGAATGCTACATACAATGAAAACGGCAATAACATAAATATCGATTGCCTCAATCAGCCTCAACAGCGCAGATTGTGTACTGTGTTTAGCAGCCCTTTCTTTCTTTCTCGAAAAAACGCGACAACATCCAACAAAACAACAAAATGACCACGACGTTCCAAAAGGGGAAAAAGATTCAGGTGAATGACACTCTTTTCGTTGGGGGATGTTTATCTGTGTTGTGGACAGTGCCGGCTGAGTCCTTCAGGTCGTCGTTCGTGCTTTGTGCTTTTGTGCGCGATAAAATTGGCAAGGTAAGAAAGAAAGAAAGCAAACTGAAGAAAAGAATTGGCATGAATTGAAAACTACTTGCCGACACTAGCTGCTGCTGTACAGTTTGTTGCCGTAATTAGCATTTCCCTTGATTCCCCCTGACTCTCCTTGTGACATCTCGTCGTTTATGTAATCTTCTCACACACTTCTTTTTAAGCTGAAAATCAATGGCGCCTCGATCACACTACAGAAAAAGAGTGGCCGATGTATGAAGGTGGCACTTGGTTCACCTTGTTCACTTCCTCGCCGTCGATTTGATTACATCAGACAAACAGACAAACTATTTCTATTTCTATGCATAAGTTCATGCAAAGTTTATGCTTTTATGACCACTGTGTGGAACAACACGCCTGATGAAAGTCAATCGTTCAATAGTCTGGAAAGATCTGTTGTACCGTACAAAAGACTGAAAATTCATTTTATTTAGTAAAAGAGGTGGTTATGAAGAGATGGTTTGTGACAATGAGCGGGTATTTCGTTAAGTGATCACAGAGTGAGAGTAAATGTAAATGTGTGAATAATGGTGACGATGATGGAATTGGAGATTAAAGATTGTCTAGTTGCCTTGGGAGTTGCTTAAAAGGGGGGATGGGGAGGGATAACCACCAATAAAGAGGAGAAAAGCTGAGGATACTGTTTACTGGTAAAACGATCTGATGTAAAACCTCTCCTATAGACACACACAAAGGTAAAAAGGCCTAGGGTTTACTTAGTCTTCAGCTTTTTGTACGGATTGGGATTCCACGTGAGAATTGTTGTGTGGCACTCTGTAATCCGAATATCCAGCAGCTGATCATCAGTAAGCTCGTTGAACTTGTCCAGCTGAGAGGAGAGAGTGCTGGCCAGGGAAAAAGTTGCTGATTCGGCAGTCGGCAAACTGCTGCTGCTCTCTGCTTGGCAGTTGACATCTTCAGCCTCACTGGAAACTTGGTCAATTAATTGAGCCAAAACGGAGGAAACTTCAGACTCAATCGTGCTTTCCATAGCCAATTCTGTAAGTATGTAAAAATTGCGTCATTGATGCGATTTGCTAACAACAACAAACACAAAAGCTTACCTTGCTTCGAGTTCATCTCGTTGATGGTTTCGCCGATAAATTGATTTAAATAACTACTTTTTCCACTAAAAAGAACCTCGTCCTCGTCAATTTCCGGGTCCACACCGCTGTCGTATAGATCACTGAGAATATCATAGAACGTGGGGCAGTAGTTTGAGTTGAGATAATACGGGTTTAAAGTCGAGATCGGAATGCGATTCTGAGCTACGGGGTCGTTCTCCTCGTCCGATTCAGTCTGGCTGAGTGACCGCTCAGAGCCGGTGTCGCTCATGTCCTCCTCCTCCTCATCGTCGTCGTCGTCCACCTCGTTGTCGAACATGATGGTAAGGACGGTGGTGTTATCAGCGCGATAGCGCGAACGTGACCACCGATTCATACAGACGTCAAGCAGCTGGGACGCGTGCGACACCTGTACGTTGCCAATGTTGGGCAGGCAGTACGGCTTGTGGGTCTCCTCAAAGTCCTGCACCACCTTGATGGCCGCCTGGTTGCTCATCATGTTCCACAGCCCGTCCGAGGCTAGCACCAGACACCGGTCGGCATTGTCGATGGGAATGCAGTGGACATCGGGCTCCGGTGAGACGATGAAAATGTCCAGCGACTTGTTCAGCGACCACAGGTCGCCGAGCGCCCGAGAGACGGCCAAGAATGGAATTGCGTCATAGGCTTGTGAGTTGGACGCTGCGTTGGCCGCCGGATTCAGGCAGGGCTTCGGACGGTTCCAGACCACACGGCCAATGCCAGATTTGTTGATCACCTGGCCGCCAGCGGCCTCGATGCGCTTCCTCTCCCTCGGAGACTCTGGTTTGTGGTCACGTGTCATCGGACAGGCAATCCATTTGGTGGAATTTAAATCCTGTCGGCCTAGAACGATTCTCGAGTCGCCAACATGGCCAGTGTAGTAGTTTCCATTCATGATAAAAACAACCGATGCTGTTGTTCCGGCCGTTGAGGGCAATCCTGTTGAGGTTTTGGGCCAATTGCCTAGTAAACAAAAGGAAAACATGCCATTTAGAAACATCAAAACATTGGCCTTTTCTACCTGTTTCTACTTACCAACTTCACTCAGCATATTCCGTTGGGTTCTAACGAAGCCTCGATGGATCGCCAGACACACTTTCTTGTCCTCGCCGGACCAGAACTCTCTCTGGCGGACAATGTTGCGGCAGAGATTATCTCGACTGTACTTGGCGGCCATGTCCCCGCCATGACCGTCAAAGATGCCAAAGAACATGAATGAGCCCTGGAGAACGTCGCCATTCATCGAGAGGACCGACTTATTGGGCGGACACTTGTAGTGGACGATGCTGAACTCATCTTCCATGTGATTCCGGCCACCCTGCGAAGAGCTCGAGTAGACGCGGACCTTGGCTGAGTTGTTGTAGTACTGCTGCTGCATGTAGTACTTCATCGTGTGAATCTTGCTGCTGCTGGTGCCAGAATTGGAGGATTGGGAAGTAGAATCGAAGTGGAATTGGAGATCGCACTAGTAAAAATATGAATGAAAATAGAACCGCGATGATGAAAGAGGTGGTGGCAGAGCTGGAGGACGCTCGGACGACGACGACGATCTCACACACGTTGACTGGCAGTGGTGGTAGTAGCAGAAGCAGCTGACCTCAGGCAGCAGCAGCGCGACAGCCACTCATCAATGCTCCTCTCAAGGGAGCAGAAGGCTGGCTGGCTGCAGAAGCTGCACAAAGGAATCGGCGACGGCGGAGGCGGCGAGGGGTGATCACTGGCTGCGGGGGATTCGATTTCAGTTGGCTGGGCAGTTGACGGACTGGCAATACGGCGTCAAATGGGAGGGAGGGGACGCGGCTAGGGCCGGTGTGGGGGAAGTAGAACACAGGCGCTGGTCCAGCAGCAGAACTTCTTGGCCAAAATAAACAACAACGGTGTGGTGGGATGGTGAAAGATTAGAGCGCTTCTTTCTCTCTCTCTCTCTCTCTCTTTCCAGTGCAGGCATTGTTTGTCTCTGTTGTGCCTTCCACTNAACTTCTTGGCCAAAATAAACAACAACGGTGTGGTGGGATGGTGAAAGATTAGAGCGCTTCTTTCTCTCTCTCTCTCTCTCTCTTTCCAGTGCAGGCATTGTTTGTCTCTGTTGTGCCTTCCACTGCACACAGTGTCTGTCGCCGATCGATTGAGCCAGCCTCCTTTTCCCGAGTTCTCTCTTTCACAGTGAGAAGGACCGGCACGAATAGCCTTCGGCAGTGCTGCACAGTGCTGCCCTCTGTAGCACTAGAAAGGTTAACTCGGCCAGCCGCCGTTTGCCCTGAATCGCAGACGCCAATTCTCTTCTGCGCTGCTGCTGCTTCAAAAGTGTTAACGAACTCGTCTGTTCATGCCTGCGCCCAATGGCGCCCACCAGATGACGCCACCGGTTTCGTATAAAAAAGTATTTTTTGTGTTTGCTTCTCTGCTTCGGTGCTGCTGCATTTCGAAATCTCGATTCCGAGGGTTGTTCAATTCGAGGTTGCGCAATCATCGTCGGCGGCGTTGGGGAAGTTTCATTTGGATGCTATAAATAGATTTTATAATTGGNAGTGTTAACGAACTCGTCTGTTCATGCCCGCGCCCAATGGCGCCTACCAGATGACGCCACCGGTTTCGTATAAAAGTATTTTTTGTGTTTTGCTTCTCTGCTTCGGTGCTGCTGCATTTCGAAATCTCGATTCCGAGGGTTGTTCAATTCGAGGTTGCGCAATCATCGTCGGCGTTGGGGAAGTTTCATTTGGATGGTATAAATAGATTTTATAATTGGACAGTGACACTTCGTCGATGAGGGTGAGTGGTGAGTGTTTGTGTTGCATATAAATTACTTTGTCAAAGTACCCCAAGTAAATTGTGCGCTGATTTACGACCACTACTTTCCTCTACTTTTATTTAGATTTCAGCAGCACCGACGAACCATCACTGAAGCACGGGACCATGAGGCAAATGAGCATCTGCCATCATCATCATCATATCAGGCCACCCATGTGTTGCTTCAAAGGAAAAGATGCGGCGACGGCGACGGTCACCAGCGATGGCACACACTCACTGAGGAACATCACATTATCACACACTGGCAGTGGATGGTGCGATGTCAATGTGATCGGTAATTGAGTCATCTTTGAGCTGCTATTTTTAAAAGATGTATGTGNCATCATCATATCAGGCCACCCATGTGTTGCTTCAAAGGAAAAAAATGCGGCGACGGCGACGGTCACCAGCGATGGCACACACACACTGAGGAACATCACATTATCACACACAGGCAGTGGATGGTGCGATGTCAATGTGATCGGTAATTGAGTCATCTTTATGAGCTGCTATTTTTAAAAGATGTATGTGTTTTTGCCGCACAGATGTGTGAGCGAAAGCAAAGAGGAAAGAGGAANTCACTGAGGAACATCACATTATCACACACTGGCAGTGGATGGTGCGATGTCAATGTGATCGGTAATTGAGTCATCTTTTTTTGAGCTGCTATTTTTAAAAGATGTGTGTGTTTTTGCCGCACAGATGTGTGAGCGAAAGCAAAGAGGAAAGAGGAAAAGGGAAAGAAGCGGCAGAGGAAGGAACAAACAACAACAACAAGCAAAGGCCATTATGCGGCAATATCATATCGCTGCCGTAGTCGTCACCACAACCACCACCACCAGCACTCCAACTGAAGGGCAGGAACATCTCAAGATGCTGATTTCATATTCGAACGAGACGATGCATCGTTTGCTCGTATTTTGTTGTAAACAAACACCCGCCTGCCTTGGTTCCACCGAACAAACTGCTGCAGCTGAAGCGTCGACTGTCTCTCCTCAAAGCGACTCTTGCGTATCTACTACTTCTTCTGATTCTTCTACTGCCTATCCCGCACTAATCACACACACACACATACACACACACACACACACACACACACACACACGCCAACACCGTCAGGACGTGTGTCTCTCGACTTTTAGTCAAAATCTCGCACTGGAGGGGGAGGGGAGAAAGGAGTACCGAGAAAGCAAGATTGTACCAGTATTTTTAGTTAGGCAATCTCTTTCTTTCTCTCATTTGCGCATTCACTTTCACTNTGCAGCTGAAGCATCGACTGTCTCTCCGCAAAGCGACTCTTGCGTATCTACTACTTCTTCTTCTGATTCTTCTGCTGCCTATCCCGCACTAATCACACAAGCACACCAACACCAACACCGTCAGGACGTGTGTCTCTCGACTTTTAGTCAAAATCTCGCACTGGAGGAGGAGGGGAGAAAGGAGTACCGAGAAAGCAAGATTGTACCAGTATTTTTAGTTAGGCAATCTCTTTCTTTTTCTCATTTGCGCATTCACTTTCACTGGATGCAGTCGCCAAAGTGTCTGTGTGTGTAGAGAGGACTGTGTGTGCCTTTGTTTATTTATAGAATTTAAAGATCTGAGACATGCACAGACAATTGTTGGTGCTGCTGTGGTGGTGTGGTGGTGGTACGTCTTCAGCAGAAGAACTTCGCAGCTTTGCTTTTGCAAGGGCAGCAGCAGCAGCCAGCTCCAGAAGAGAGAAAACGCGGAGACGAAGCTTCGCAAAGACAAAGTTCTTCCTCGCTTGACNCTGTGGTGGTGGTACGTCTTCAGCAGAAGAACTTTGCAACTTTGCTTTTGCAAGGGCAGCAGCAGCAGCCAGCTCCAGAAGAGAGAAAACGCGGAGACGAAGCTTCGCAAAGACAAAGTTCTTCCTCGCTTGACGCAACAGCACCGAAACGCACACACACACCAAACAGTCTTACGTCTTCAACTCGGTCGCCTTATTGGTCGCTTAATATATTTCCACGGGACGTCAGCAGCTGCTGACGGGCGAAAGAGAAAGAAAGAGCTACTCTACGAGGACCAGAGAAGCTCAGCTCAGCCAGTTGGTCTTCAGCCAGTTGCTCAGCCGCTGAGCTGCTGATTCTGATTCTACAGAGTGCAGAGATCAGTCTTCGTCATCGACGAAGTGCAAACAACACACAAGAACACACTGCTGATGTGATCTCTGTTGGCTGGCACCTCGAACCTCAAGAACAGCAGCATCTGCACCGGCGCCACTGTGACACTGTGCTGTGTGCCAAGGCAACAGTCGAAGTCGATTCTCGGTAGAAGCTCACCAGAGCATTCTTCAGTGTGCAGTGATGACTGTCGCAGCCAGTGGGTGACAGAACAGTTCAGTTGCAGCCTTCACCACCTTCACCACCACCACTACCATTATTCTGTGCAGTGTTCAGTCGTCGATTCTACTTCTTCTACCACTTCTACTTCTACTTCTACTTCTCCAACATCGTCTGATGAATGTTGCCACCACCGCCGTCGAATCTCTGTCACCGTGACAAGGCAATCGCCATCAACACACACTGAATTACGGGGAAGAGAAGACAAAAAGAAAGCGGCAAAGAAGAAATCGCTGTCGCCTTGAATTTTCTTCTCCCCATTGACGCCCATTGTCTCGGCTCGCCTTGCTCGCTCTCTCGCTCATCATCAGCTCATCATCACCACCACCTCTTCCCACAACCACACTAGCCATTCTTTGTCTCGGTTAGCGCCAACAACACGGTGGCACACAAGAGCTGCTGCACTCAGCAACTTTTTCCGTTTCCGTCTTTTTCTAGCCCTCCTCTTCTCAACAATCGTCTGTGCCTCTGAGAGCACATCTGCTGGTTTTGGCTTTTTCTTTTCAGTGGAGCTTCTTTTCGCTAATTGTACAGTTTTGTACGACCGAATCTTGTTCTGCCGCATCTCGTGACTCCAGCCCAGTTTTCAGTTTCCAATTTGCCATCTCCATCTTATCGAAGGCGGCAAAAAGTTTGGGAGCTACTGTGTTTACTGTGTTTCATCTGATATCAGGGCTGTGATTGCTTCAGCTACTGCTGCCTCAACAGCTCCCAGCACAACAAACACACACATTATTTGTGCTCAACACCCGAAAATTTGTCAGGCAATTATTCTCTCTTTCTCTTTCTCCTTCTTCGTCGCCTCATTTCACCGCCAAAAAATCTACAGTACTTTTGCATCTGTGTGGTAAAAGTGTAAAAGTGCCAGTGGTGCACTAGGTGGCAAGTCTCCCGTTTTTTCTCCCTTTCCGTTTGTCGCTTTCCTCAACTCAACTTCTTCACCATCAGCACTATCAGCAGCAGCAGGAGGAAGACTTGGCAGGCATCAAAGCAGAGGGAGCAGCGCACTGCAGCCCTGAGCTGAGTCGCATTAATAATGGGCTCAATACTATCGAAACTTTTCGGTGGTGGTGGCAATCACAGCCACGGCAGCGGTGCTCAACAGCAACCGCCGCCACCAGCACTTTTGCCACCGACTGGTGGTGCTTCAACTTCAACTTCTTCGCAGCATCAGCAGCAATCCTCAGCAGGCACTCCTCTTCCTCGATCCACCAGTAAGTGTCTCTGTCGATAGCATCACTACAACTACCACTTTAACATCTTCCAATATACTAGGTAGCGCATCATCAAAGCACCCACCAACACCGACGGCAGTGGATGGCCTAACGACGTCAGTCCCACCTGCCCCCATCAACATACTCGAGGTGGAGGTGGACGAGGAGGCGTTCAAAGAGGTCGTTTCTCCGGTAAGTTCTTTTCCCCTAACCTTGAAGTGCCAGAAATAAATTACTACTAACCACACTCTCGTTTTCAGCCAATCTACACGAGCACCATCAAGGCGCAGATTGCCCCCTCGCCGCCGCATCCCCTGGAGCTGCAGCAGCACGGAGCAGCACCGAAGCCGATTCTGGTGTCGCACCTGGCCACTGTGGACGTGCCCAACGGTCGCCAGCAAGCAGCGCCCATTGCCACGCTCGACTCTGATTACGAGGACGAGCAGCTAATCCTAGAGCAGGAGAGCGCCGAGATTGAGGAGGCGGTCATCAAGATTCAGGCGGGCGTTCGCGGCTACCTGGTGCGCAAGCACCACGCCAATCAGTCAGCTAAATTGCCCATTAAGTCAATCAGTCTCGATGAGTCGGTGTTGTTGAAGCAANCAAGTCGCCCATTAAGTCGATCAGTCTGGATGAGTCGGTGTTGTTGAAGCAACAGCAGCAGCAATCGCCCGAGAATATTCTCCCGCCGCCGGAAAGCTTTGAGAGCATTGTGGCAATCTCAGCAGTCAGTAACAGCAGCAAGCCGCTGTCGATTCAGTCGAAGCACCGCGTGGAGACGCCAATTCCCGGCTCACCGCCCTTTGCTCAAGACGACACCAACTACCGCATTCTGGACACTGACGTTGACATACTTCAGGAGACAGTGCAGTCAGTCCAGTCAACGACGGTGGTGCCGCTGATTGCCAACCCCGAGGAGCTGGAGATCTTCAAGAAGATTAATGAGATCAATCAGCTGCTGGCCAGCAAGGACGACGACGAGGCAATTGCAGTGATTCCTGAGCCGCCAAAGCAGCAGCCGCAGCCACCAGTGGCCAATTTGCACCAGTCAACTGCTGCGACTACAATGAACTCTGCCGTCAGCTCAAGCAGCATCAACAAGGCCCTCAGTGAACTGGATCAGACGATTCACGAGCAGGAGATGAGTCTGCCTCCGGAAGAAGAGGATGTGGTTGATGCTAAAAAGGATGATGAGGTGATTGTCCTGGAGTCGGCGTTCTCCGATGTCCCCCTCAGCGAGCCCTCCTCAACGGTTCCTCCCGTGCCGATGAGTCCCTCGGTGCTAGTGAAGGCGCCGTCACTTGATGAGGAGGAGGTGCCCGAGGAAGAAAGCCTTCTCGGAGAGTCTCTGCTTTCGGAGACGGCCGCCGCCATTCGCATTCAGGCCGCATTTCGTGGCTATGAGGTGCGGAAGTCGCTCTCCCGGGAAGTGTCACCGGCCAGAAGTACTGAGGAGGAGAAGGTGGTCGTCGTGGAGGAGATGGCTGAAGTTAAAGTGGCTGAACCCAAAGAGGAGCCAGCTCAGTCCCAGCCAGCAGCCGCACTAACTGAACCTGTGCCCGCTGCTGCAGCTACGGAAACTGAAGAGTCAAAAGGCGGTGAAGCTGCAAAGCCAACGGCGGAAGATTTTGCCGAAGTCCTCTCCCTTATTCCTCAGCCCGTCAATGAGGAGCTTATTCCAGTGATGGAGCTCTCTGATCAGGACATTATTGAAGACTATGTCGAGGAGAAGCAACCGGAAGGTGAAGAGAAATTGGCAGATAATGCTCAAATAATAACAAGTGGAGGGGAAGAGCAGCAGCCCAAACAGCCACAGCAGCAGCCTGCAACTGATGCTGACGTGAATGTCGCCGTTAAAGAGGGGCAAGTTGCATTTTTTACTGTTGACATTTTAATTTTTAATACGATTTTTGGATTTTCTAGATTTGGAACGCTGGCTTCATCTGCCAAGGCAGCCGAAGCTGTTGTGGTGGTGGCCACTGCAGAGGAGAAGAAGGAGGAGAAGGCAACTGCAGCAGCAGCACAGGTGCCAGTACCGGACATTGAGAAGTCCATCAAGGAGCTGGAGGTAAGTGACGTGCCTTGCTGCATGCCTTTTCCCCTCAATTTGCATGAAGTATGTATACATATAGCGCACGACCACTGCTTTCTCCTG